AACTGGCTCAGGAACAACCGAACAACAAGCTCTCCCTGGTGGCGTCTTGCGCGAATGCGGTCGAGAGGATCTACATGTGCCGAGAGCGTCCTTGCTACATTTAGACATTTTTGTGTCGTGTCTTCCACCGTGTGTTCCTCCTCCAGGGCGTCGAATGCTCTTCCCGCCCATTTATATGCGTCGCGAAATTAAGGCTCCACAACACCAGATCCTTAACAAGGTCATCTGGTCATAAATTTACAACAATGGTCATTCGTGGCGCCGAGTCTGTTGGGGAAGCAAGGTCACTGCGATCTTTCCTACATTTTTTTTCTTCAAAGATGATACAAGGAATTAAGATTTCTATTCTTGGGAATAGTTTATTCTGTTTATCCTCTCGTTAATGCTTATTCTAATTCTTTATCATTACTGGCGAGTTTACCTGTTTACCCTTACATCGTTATATTCACTCTTGTAAAGATGTCACTGGATAGACAGGCAGGTTTGAAACTCCAATTGCAGTCATCGCCAGGCCGGAGTAAACGTTGAGCTTTGAGCTGGCCTTGTGCGAGGTCCCAGAACTCCCAAGTTCACTCAGTATTACAGTCACAGCTTGCCCCGGCCTGCAAATGCGTCAAGCACCTTAATCGCCTGTTGTGGCCCGCGCTCGTCGCAGGCAGCTGGGTGAAGCAGCCTCCCCTTACTCACCACGCCGCAGCTCCGGAACAATGGCCGTGTCAATTTCCAGTGAATTTCGGCGCTTTAGTGATTAAAAAATCGTCTCGCACTTATAGATACTCTATTCCTACAGCAAATCTGAAATAATTCGTGCGTCAAATGAAAAATAAATCGTTTCTTGCAGTGATATATAAATGGATATTATAGAAGCAGAAGTGTAGCAGTTTATTACTTTGGACGGTACAAGTGGGACATGCGGACACGGGCTCCCGTCGTGCACGTAGAGGGTCCAAAGAGGTTGATCCCCAATGCAGTGCGCTTGTCACACATGGCGCGTGATTTTCGACACCTATCTCGTATAATATTTGATATATTTTACGAAATGTTGCAAAGAGAGAATGACATCTGCTGCAACGACTCTCTCACCTCTCGCAATTTTTGTCACCTTTAAAACTGAAGCGATGCCCTCCTTCTTACATCACGTAAAAGACTGACGAGAGGAGAGCCAAAGGAAAAGGAAGAAAGAAACTACGTAAAGGAGAGGTAGAAGACGAAAATAACAAACACATGCAGGTATACATAGATAAACACATAAACATATATACTGTATATGTCTGTAGATGTATGGACAGAAAGCTAAAGATATTGTATGTTCATTTACTTAAGCATATGTAAATATATACCACACACACAACACAGACACACACACACACACACACACACACACACACACACACACACACACACACACACACACTCACACACACACACACACACACACACACACACACACACACACACACACACACACACACACACAACACACACTCACTCACTCACACACACACACACACACACACACACACACACACACACACACACACACACACACACACACACACACACACACACACGCACACACGCACACACACACACACTCACCACACACACACACACACACACACACACACACACACACACACACACACACACACACACACACACACACATATATGTATATATATATTATACATATATATATATATATATATATATATATATATATATAATATATATATATATATATATATAATATATATATATATATATATATATAGCATACACACGCGCAGACAAGCGCCAGGAGTATTCTTGATTCAGTGTCAACAAAAGCGAAAGTCGTTTTAATAGACGCCAACCAAACCCTCTCTATCTCGCCATTCTTGATCCCCGCTTTAGCTTTAGAAACTCTTATCTTTACTTCAAAACACATATCCTCTTACCTCTAAGTAGCACCTTGCAATTGCCTTATCACTCCCAAAACGTACCGTATGATCGATATCACATCTATACAAAATACTCATAGAACAGTTCATGAAGTACAGGGCACACCCAAACACTAAAAAGAAAAAAAAGAAAAAAAATATGCGCAGACTCATCCTACAAAAAGGCATACCACTGGTTCCTAGCGCCAGCTGAGATCCTTAGCGTGTCGCCTTAGATTAATGTGCTCCTCTCGTGTTGTTATGCCGCTCGGCTTGAGGGAGAGGAGGAACGAAAGAAGGAAAGGAGAGAAAGGAAGCACGCAAGAAAGAAAGAGAAAGAGAGAGAGAAAGAAAGAAAGGAAGCAAGTAAGAAAGAAGATGAAGAAAGAAAGAGAAAGAGAGAGAGAGAAAGAAAGAAAGGAAGCAAGCAAGATAGAAGATGAAGACAGAAAGAGAGAGAGAGAGCAAGAAAGAAAAGAAGCAAGCAAGAATAAAAGATGAAGAAAGAAGGAATTAAAAGGAAGCAAGCAAGAAAGAAGATGAAGAAGAGAAAGAGAGAGAGAAAGAACGAAAGGAAG